AGAAAATATAAATAAATAAATATATATATATATATATATATATAAAATCTAGCACATTCAAAGGCACATTGCAAGTAAACAAACAAACAAAAAAGAATGTTCATGCAAAGGAAAAACGTTGTAAACATGTTTCTGTGATTATACCTGCATTTTATTAAGTTGGTGACAGGGTCTCTTTGACACACTACATGACAGATACCATTTACAAGATGCTCACATTCTCTAGTGGTATCTCTAAATGAAAACACGATGAATCTAGCCCAGCCCGCGTTACAGCCATACGATACATAATTATGCAGAAATCTGCTGTACATCACTAATTACTCCGACAGTTATAAATCTCAGCGAGCAGCAGGCAAGGATTATGCGGGACGGCTGTGAGGGGGAAGGACGTGAGAAGGAATTTGTCACTGCAATATCTAAACACGCCTACATGTCTCTTCTGCTGTGCTTCAATAAAGGAAATCTCCGGGGACAGTATTAATGCAAATTATACTGTAATGTTTAGTATCAGATTATTATTATTTTTTTTTTTATCTGGGGCTGAAGTTTTTGTTGTCAGGGAGGAAAGTCCACCTTCAGCAAGCACCTGAACATTGCAGCCAAGCATGTCTGTGAAGGTTCTCCAGGTCATATATCCAGGTCATGGAGTAGCTAGCACTAGTTGGTCACATTCAGCTGGACTTGTTCTGAAATGTTGAAGATTAGGGATTAGGGATAACCTGAGCTCCTCTGAACCTGCTCCAAACCTGAACTCCACCAAACACAGTAGGAAGCTGCTTCCATTGCCACACAACTAGCTGTAACCGAGGCATTCCTGATTGGCTGGAGAGCTGGCTTCATGTTCTTTTGCGGCACAGCTGGTCAAATCTCCCTCTGATCAGAAGTTCCGGTATCGGAGCATGTGGGCGAGTACGAGTATCGGTATCTGTCCATCCCCAATATAAAGTATATATATATGCTACAGTTTAGTAACAATTGAAGGCCTTGCCCCTCCACCAACCTGTGACTGGACAGTGTAAGGAGCAGCAGAAGACTGATGAGCTCATCTCTGTCCTGCTAACTGCATGTACCTTTTTAACACATGAGCACTGCGGCACAACTGATTGGAAAAGGTGGAGGTGGAAAAGTCCAACTCCAGCAAGCACCTGAGCATTGAAGAACCAACTGTGAAGGTTCTCCAAGTCATATATCCAGGTCATGGAATAGTTAGCACTAGTTGGTCACATTCAGCTGGACTTGATCTGAAATGTTGAAGATTAGGGATGAGCTCAAGTCCGAACCTGAGCTCCTCTGACCTTGGTCCAAACATGAGCTCCACCAAATACAGAAGGAAGCTGCTTCCACTGCCACCCATAGCTGCAACCAAGGCATTCCCCATCAACAGCTGCATATAAGCAAAAGGGTGGAATGACATGACACTATTGACCACATGGTCCTATTTGCTCAATGACATTTTCCTACTATGGCCACATAATATAAGGTCATATCAGGTCAATGAAGTCAGTACAGGCATCCCAACTCTTCGTTTATGTGCAGTTTCAGGATGTGTAGTGCCTCGGCCTGCAGCTGATTGGACTCAGTTCCTGAAGTCATCTCTATTGAAGATGTCTTGTAGCATCTATCAGCCTTTTCTTCAGTTTTACTGAGTAAAAGCAAGATACCTCAGCATTTATGTTCACACCGGTAGCACAGACGCCTTAATCCAATCACCATGGAATGTGTCAAGGCAAGTGTAGATTGTCCGAGAACAGGATGGGAGGTGTAAAAGTTGTGAAACCCCCTTTTCTAATCATATAATGCCATCCTTGGTGTCAGGAAGTCTGCATAGGTGATAATTAGTCAACTAACATGGGTGATGGTGTCAAGCGTTGTCAAATTAGATGGCAAAACAACATTATATGTAGAAGACAAATTGTGTTGAAGGCCCCCAACCTTGTTCAGGGATGGTTGTTGCAGCATTACCTAGATGGCCTCACCACCACCCCTCTTCCACATATAATACAATTTTAACATCTCTACCCCTGGCCATTCGACAACATTTCATACTTTCAGCCATGTATATTGAGGCCTTGTGTATAGCTAGAGCCTATAACCTGGGGTCCTTCCCAAGCACAAATTGGTTAGAGAGCAAGCACAAGTGCAAGTAAAGTGTATACCTACAACTTGGCGCACATCACTGGCAGTGTTACCTAATCTTCAGTTCATTGACAGCTAAAAAAAAAAAAATGATTGTAAGTGTTTGCTGATCTCTTTATTTTAGATCCTTTCGGAAATACCGATGACCGAGAACCCCTAACGGATGAAGTGAAAAGTGGTCCGGCTGTCATTGGAGGTTATATGTTTTTATATATATATAGATTTTATGTGTTGCATTCACTATAGAACATGTGGATCTGGCAATGATGGGACTCCATTTTGAGGCAAACATATTTTTTTAGTTACAAAATAAACAAATAGTAACACTTGTTATATTAAAAATGGTTAAAATGGAAATAAAGTGTATCTTTTCTACTCTTCCTTCTGTTTGCCTGTAAAATATATAGACTGCTTGATACATTTTAAAAGAAAGTCTTATATATGCAAAAAACAATATATGCCTTACTTCTGGATCGGAAGTGATAACTGAATATACGTGACCACGGCATAGGAGCTCACCATAGAGCCAGTAGCAGACGAAGAACGTCCGTTCTTCGCCTGCTCTGTATGATGACTGAGACCGTGGGCTCTATGGGCTCTACCGTGGGCTCTATGGGCTCTACCGTGGGCTCTATGGTGAGCTCCTATCCCGTGGTCACAGCGGGTGGGGGGGTTGGGTGCAGACTCGATCGCCGCCTCTTCGTTTTAATACAAGTGAATAGATCACTTGTATTAAAAGAGCAGCGGCTCCCACTGTACATTCAGCTCTGCTTTAGCAGGGGTAAATGTACAAAAAACGACTCGCCCGGCGCCCGAAAGTGCATGTCCCGGGCATCGGGCAATAGGGATTCACTCCATAAGACGCACACACATTTATATATATACACAATATATTATATATATACATATATACAGTATACACGCCGATCAGCCATAACATTGTGACCCCCCTGCCTAATATTGAGTAGATACCCCTTTTTCCTGACCCCTTCAGGCATGGACTCTTCTAGACCTCTGATGAACATGTGCTGTGGTGTCTGGCACCAAGCTGTCAGTAGCAGATCCTTTAAGTCCTGTAAGTTGTGAGGTGATCGGCCTCCATGGATCGGACTTGTTTTTCCAGCAGATTTCACAGATGCTCAATTGGATTGAGATCTGTAGAATTTGAAGGCCAAATCAACACCTCAGACTCGTTGTTGTCTTCCTCAAACCATTCTTCAACCATTTTTGCAGTGTGGCAAAAATGCTGAAAGAGGCCACTGCCATCATGGAATACCGTTTCCTTGATGGGGTGGACTTGGTCAGTAACAATGTCTAGGTGAGTGATGCGCATGTCAAAGTAATGTCATGCATGCCTCTGCCAGCTTGCCTTCCTCTCATTTTGTTATG